AGATTGTGTGTAACCAGGTGAGCCACCATTGTTTCCTGCTACAGACGAGTCGAAATTGTGCAGCTAAAACTCAAAGTCAAAGTCGCAGTACCCGTGGCGCCAAAACAGTTCAAACTTGGTTCCGACTGCAAACTACATAATTCTAAGGGTATTTTGAGCATGTTGTGTGTTTATACTGTAAAAGTGACAAATAGAGGCATACTCAACGATCAGTCTGCTCAATTATGTGCACTTCGAAATCTACAAACTTAAGCAAACAGCAGAAACAGCAATGGCAAATAAGAGTAGAAACAGGAGGCTTCTTACTGAAATAGGATCCAAATATATAAGAGAGGGGAAATAAAATAAAAGCCTGTCTCTAATAATAGCCTCCTTTCATTCTTGGTAAATAAGAGCTTCACACATTATCTTAAAATCTATGCTAGATAAGTACAAATATTTCCTAAGATCAGGCTCATATGGCTAAAAAGAACACTGCATGGCTGATGGATCCAGACAGCATGAAAACCTTCCACATAGCCATATGTATTGGGACTTATACATGAAAATAGCGTACATTAAAATGATAACTCATTCAGGATTGAAAAGCAGCATCACAAATGCATAGTAACGGCCTTGCCACCGCCAGCAAGACCTCCTATTATCCCTTCCCCCACGTCTCTTTTCAGAGCTGTATTGCAACAGACAGCAGCAGATTTCTCAGCTTACAGCTCATTAATTCAGAGTGGTTACTCCAGAAATGGCAATTGTCCATGACAAGAGAAGAAAAGAAAAAAAATATTACATTTTGTTCCTCAGTCTGACATAGAAAGAGTTTTTTAGGAGATATTAGGATACATACTGAGTGACCAGAAAACAACACCTGTTGGATATACTACAAGATTCCAGCAAAAATGCTACTGTACCTTGCTTAAAATATTTACTAAGTAGGCTAAGTTTAGGCTAATAAAACTACTTGTTTAGGTCAATATATCAATCCTAACTAAATGTATTACATTTTTCTGGAGCTTTCAACCATATCACATGGTCTTAAGCAGTGAAGGAAGCTTGCTCAGTCAGTATGGACATCAATACTACTATATACTAATCAGTACATCTATACCACTTTTAATTAATTAATTAATTAATTTTTTTTTTATAGCCCCAATTTAAAAAAAAAATTTTTTTTAAAAAAGAAATTAATTAAAGGACTTCTCACCTCTGGCTTAAAGTTTGACATACAGTGTGTAATTTCTGACATACTTTAATGATGTAGCATGAGATCATGGGACTTGTTTTATTTATTGTTAAACAACCACAATCACTGATGAAAATCTTTCTCACGTTACTCAAGCAGAAATTGTTTGGGGATGAGATTTTTTTCAACGTTACGTTTGGTCACATTTGTGTCTGATGTATCCGTGTTTATCTGGAAGTTACAGCAACTAGAGGCAGACACGCACAGTTACCTGAAAAAACATTGTTGAAAACATTTGGTCAACAACAACAACACATAGAACATAGCTCTAGTGTTTATAAACATTAGACATTTTCAAGGAAAAATGTTACATATTAACATCAACAGAATAATCTCACGGTCCACTCATTGGCTGGTTGCAGAGCTTCCAAAATGCCCCAAAGTTCTATGGATGAAACCATTACAGCTAGATCCGTCTTGTTAAAGAAGACAAAAAACACTAATAGGTGGACTTGGTTGGGACTACTATTTTTAGGGTCAAAAATAAACATTGATACTTATTAGGGAAGGATTGGGATCATGGTTTGTCGCTCAACATTGACTTGTTGGTATGAGACAGGATGACACCAGTGTCAAAGCCAGGCACTTTAGATGCTCAACGACCAATCCCAGTCTCCTCTCAAAGATGCAAAAATGCAGTTATACAGGTCTTATTCAAAAAGCTGGTCGTGTTTTGTATCATTATTCATACAATTATTTATCCATGCTTCAGAGAAATCAATTGTTACTTTTTAACACATCCCTTTGGCTGGCATTTCATTACACTGTATCTAAATTTTAGAAATTATAAATTCTTTGTGACCAAATTCAAATGAAGTGTATAGATAGCAACAGTAACGCTAAAACAAAATCTGGCATTCTAGGATTTCAGAGTGTAACAGTTTGCAGTCCTAAAAGGAAAGCATATATTTAAACCTTAGAGGCTCTTGCCAAATTTCTAGTGTTTTTTTTCCCTCCCACAAGCTTTTCAGCTTACACCTTAAAACGTTGCACAGTTTGTTGTGTCACATTAATTATACAACAAGCTTGAATTTTAAAGCTGTACAATGGGGAATGTAAACAGCAGCAACAAGATAGTGGTGATAATATGGTTTCATCTTCACAGAAAGAAACAGTGGTCATCTTATTTAACTGCATTTGAGTCAGTGACAGAATTAAACCAAAGAAAGTGCCACTACTTTAATTCAGCACAAGCCTAACCACAACAGTTTTCACCCTAATTCTTTTGTCATTTTTAAGAAGACTTGCAAAGACCCACCCCTACTCTGCCTCTGCTCTAACCCTGACACTGTTTTCTAACCCTAACCATCTTATTCCTCATGCCTCAATCAACCAATCAAACCTACAAAAGATACAAACACTAGCCAACCAGAGGCAGAGTTGAGCAGGTTGTCACAAAATGGTGGAGAAAAAAATCAAGCGTTACGCATTTTTAGAAGTGCATTCTTAGACTTACAGGTCACAATACACAATACGAAGTAAGGGCACTTGTGTGGAAAAAAATCAAAAAGGTGTATTTCTCCCTCCAGGTTGGGAGTGAAATGCTGCCAAGTGAAGAAGTCCAAGTCTTGTTTATGAGTGAGGTTAAAATGGAGCATGAGTATCGGACTGTTGGGGGGAAGAGGGGCTGAGCTGAGCCTGATGGCAAAGCTTTCTATTTACCAGTCGGTCTATGTTCCAACCTTTACCTATTATCATATAGCTTTGGGTAGTAATCAAAAGAATGATACAAGCAATACAATACAAGCAGTATCACAATGCCTCCTAGGCGCATTCCATTGGTGGTTCTGAGCACATTCAACTGGTAGGCGATAACAGCATAGACCAAGGTAAATGCTGGAAAATATGCAGCCTAAATAATAAATAGGGGGCACCCTGGTGGTCATAATGTTCTGCAGCCCCATACCTGTGATGCACTGTGTGTTCTGACACCTTTCTATCAGAACCAGCATGAACTGTTTCAGCAGTTTGAGCTACAGTAGCTTGTCTGTTGGCTCGGACCACACGGGCCAGCCTTCACTCCCCACGTGCATCAGTGAGCCTTGGTTGCCTGTGACCCTGTCTCCAGTTCACTGCTTTTCCTTCCTGACCACTGCAGACTGGGAACACCCCACGAGAGCTGCAGGTTTGGAGATGTTCTGACCCAGTCGTCTAGCCATCACAATGTGGCCCTTTTCAAAGTCGCTCAAATCTTCACACTGCCCATTTTTCCTGCTTCTAACATCAACTTTGAGGACAAAATGTTCACTTGCTGCCTGATATATCACACCCACTGACAGGAGCCATGATAACCAGATAATCAGTGTTATTCACTTCACCTGTCAGTGCTCAGAACATTATGGCTGATCGGTGTATATCTCATCTGGTTTGGAAGCGCTTCAGGATCCCCCAGGTGGACCTAGAGAATATTTCTGGACAGACTACCATGCTTAGCCTGTTGCCACTCACAACCAGACCTCAGGTCATTTTTGTAAAGATCCAAACTAAAGCACATGAACAATACAAAAATGGCTCAATCTCTTTGTCTTTGTGGTCTGTGGGGTTTTCAGATGCCACTCTTCAAACTGTGTTTGCCATTGAGAAACACTGGCTAAGTCTAGGCACAGGGTGAAAAACCGAGAGTAAAAGAGATTTGAGATTTGAGATTTAGCCGTCTTAAAGTGGACATACTGTACTCTAAGACAGCCTCCCTCAGTCTATGTTGGAATGAAACAGTAGAGGGAATAGAAAAGATAAAAGGATAAAGGAGCCCTGACAGTGAGCAGGATTCGACCCCCACAGTCTCCAGTTATAGACTGAGCTCTGACAAAAGACTGGCAAAGTACCTATAGGCCAATCTGCCTTTACAGCCCAGCTCTCTGCCCTGTTATTACCATTACACATTGCATATATTAATAAATCATTTTCCATCAAGAAGCACATTTTCTGTTGATGCAATACCTGGCACTTAAATAGTGGATCATCTATGCATACAAGCCTGTTTTACTGTTCTTCCCCCATGCCGAGACTGCTTCTCTGCATTCAGTTTGCCACAAAACCTGAAAAAGCCTCCACACACGTGATTGAGTTCTGCACATGGAGAAATTGTACATGTTTCTAAAGTCAAGTAGACCCCTATTGCCTCGTCAGCATTATCTTTTGGTGTTGTTTACTTTTTATGGTTTACATTGCTTGATGAAAACTTCAAATGAACTGATTACCTAAAAGTTTGCATGTAGAGATGCTGTGGTGAGAATGAAGACAGCTGACATTGACAAATAGAGACAGACAGACAACCATTCACGTTCACACCTACTATGTCTTCTATGTCCTGAGTTCAGGTTGGGATTAGGGTTAGTGGCCAGATCAGGGATAATATGATGAATTTTCTTGCTTCCTTTTGCATCTTGCAGCTGTATTTTTAACATATTGCATTTGTATAAATAAATAATAAATCAATTTCAAATGTTATTGCCTCACTACCACAGCTTCTACATCAACTAAAAATGATATCAACTGAATGGATACATCAGCCAACGATATATAGGAGATATTAACACAATGTCAGAGTGAATTATGAAATTAAATTCTATTACAAAATACACTGATTATTAAGCTAATTTTGGAAACAACCACGGTAAAACAGCTCTTCATCTGCTCCTCAAAACTGAGATTTCAGTCAAGTACACACTTTAGATATTAGGACAGAGACTGGGCATAATGTGTGAGAAAAAAACAATTAAAGGGGAAAGATGAAGAGACATGTCACACACAAAGAACTGACCTGGCAGGCGTTATAGAGGAGCTGGTGCTCAAACTTCTTAATGCCCAGGATCTGCTGAAACATCTCGTACAGCTGGTCCTTGCTCAGGATGAGCTCGGAGGCAGCGCTAGCCGTCAGTCTCTGCTGGTGCTTCCTGGGGTCCTCTTCACCTCGGTAGATGGTGTCAAACTTGGCTATCCAGGAGCTCAACACCGTCTCTTTGCTCAGGCCGTCAATCTCAGGCAGGCTGCGCACCCGCTTCTCTATGTGCTTCTTAAAAACCTCCCGAGAGTCGCTGGCTGAGCACCCACCGCTCTGCACCATCCGGGACACACGGTCACTTTTCAGAAAGATCTGCAATCAATTCATGAATTAACACATTAGTTGTTGTTTTTTATCCAAAAGATGTCTGATTTATATACCATATGTATAAAACAAACTTTGGGGTGGATCCTATGGTTCTAGCTGCAGTGTCATGAACAAATGCTTATGATTCAAGGCGATAGGATGCAAAAGAATATGATGCTTTACAATCATATGGTACAGATAGTTTGATTTTATTTCTTTGATTCCTCTTAAAGCAACTAGAGAAATAGTTTAGAGAGGAGGAATCAATCCAAATACACAAATCAGATTTTACGGATGCATCCCGAGTTCATCCCAAATTGTATCCATTGCCATATCCATTACCATCCCATGTATATATTTATCTACATTTATTTGATTTAACTATACAATACAGAATACATACATATCTTCAATGATAGTTTAACAGTAAAAGTCTGGGGAAAAAACAACACATTTTCTAACTGGATCAAAAGTGTCAAATGTAAAAACAATGAGTGATGCCTGTTGGGGCTAATCTAATGGGTTTGTTCACCCAAACAACAAAAAAGCATATTTTTTAATTATTTACATCATTACCAAGTAAATAAAATATACATTTGTAGTGCTCAGCATAAATAAGTCACTCTAAAATAATTCACCGGCAACATCTGTATCCAGCACGAAACATAACATAAACAAATAAGGACTCTATTTCAGAATTCAGTTTTTTTCAGTGCTGTGAAAAGCACAAGTAAAATTGCATTCACCTCTTTTCTACCAATTAACAACAATAAACAAAGAAGAATTTCAATCACATACCAACTACTGTGTGAGTGAAGGCTGACTCATATTTGTAAGCCAGTATACAAGCTTGTGATTGATGGGTGGTAAATTCCTGTCACCTGCTGTCGACAGTGCCAAGCACTTTGTAACCTTTTGTCTCTGTTATCCTCCATCTTTCTATTTCTGTCTGTCCCCTATCTCTCTCTGTCATCCTCCATCAGTTTTAGCCGGAAGCTAAAGCCAAGCTGAGAGCTCTAGGCTTTAATTGAATTGGATAACCTGTGCCACCAGCTTCATCTGTTAAATATCACACCGTTCTCATTTGTGCTGCCACATTAATTGATAAGAAAGTGCCAGTCAATGTGTCACCGCCACCAACCCAACACAGGTACGCTACCTTCTTTTGCTCTAGTACCCAACAGCACTCTCAATTCTCTGCATGTCCTTCTTTGCAACATTGGATCAGCTTTTAGAAAACACATATACAATGCAACAGAAATGATAACAGAAATAACAGAAACACCTCTCTGTGTTACCAATTAACATCACGTTAAAGCTCAAAGCATGTAAAAAACTATAGAGGGAGGGAGCTTGGCCCCGCTTAACAACACATGAGGTGGCTGTGACTCAGCGTTATATACAATATATGGACAAAAGTATTTGGCCACACTTGTTAATTCTTGAATTCAGGTGTTCCAATCAGACCCCTTGCCACAGGTGTACAAGCGTCGGATGGAGGGGTGTAAAGCGCATCGTCACTGGACTGTGGAGCAGTGGAAACATGTTCTGTGGAGTGACGAATAACACTTCTCTGTTTGGCAGTCAAAAGTTTGAGTCTGGGTTTGGCTGATGCTGGGAGAACTTTACAAGCTTGACTGCACTGTGCCAACTGTGGAGTTTGGTGGTGGAGGAATAATGGTATGGGGCTGTTTTTCAGGGTTTGGGCTAGGCCCCTTATCTCCAGTGAAGGGCTATGTTAATGCTTCAGCATACCAAGACATTTTGGACAATGCTATGCTTCCAACTTTGTGGCAATAAAATAAAATAGCACGCAGTGGAGTTCTTCATGTGACTTTCCGAGTTAAAAGTGAGGGAATAAGCCTGAATAAGTTTCATGTAACATTTATTTGTGGTTTAGCACCTCATATTGAATATGTATGGTGCAATCTTACAGTAAAGATACTTTAGGGAACTGCCTTTTCCTTGTGTTTCTATTAGTTGATGCAAACATGTGACATAGGGTCATGGGTGGCTGTGGCTCAGAAGCAGAGCGGGTCGTCCACTAATCGGATGGTTGTTGGTTCGATCCCCGGCTCCTCCCGCCACATGTCGAAGTATCCTTGAGCAAGATACTGAACCCCAAATTTCTCCTGATGCTGTGCATCGGTGTACGAATGTGTATGAATGAGTTAGTTTCTGTTCGATCACCTTTGCATCACTGAGTGAATGTGTGTGAAAGGGTGAATGTGGCACATAGTGTAAAAGTGCTTTCAGTGGTCGGAAGACTAGAAAAAGACTAGAGTGCATGCTGCAGAAGCTCTGTTTAGAATCTTCCTCCATCTGCTTGTGTAAAGCCTTGGAGAAGCACTGTCTGTAAATTTAACTTTTAATTTCTATCCAATATGATATATGTGTATATGTTCAATCATTCTATACAATTTTGATAATTGTTTTGTAATATATGTATATACACCGATCAGCCATAACATTATGAGCACTGACAGGTGAAGTGAATCACACTGATTATCTGGTTATCATGGCTCCTGTCAGCGGGTGGGATATATCAGGCAGCAGGTGAACATTTTGTCCTCAAAGTTGATGTGTTAGAAGCAGAGCGGAGCAACGTGAGGTGTACGTGTACTGCTACTGTTCAGCATACTCAGCTTCAGCAGGAACCTCACCAGAATCTCCTAAAAATGCCATCACAGATAAAATAGCAAGATTTATATGCGGCAATAGCAAATGTCTTATCCTTTAACCCATAAGATGTCAAACAGTACTATGTGTTTTTATATTCTTTTTGTATTTGGAATGAATTGTGTGTTGTTTGGAATAAATTTCGAAAAGGGATGACGTTGTCAAAAGTTATGACATAAGCCTAATTTAAAGAGGATGATGTTGATGACTCACCTATTGTGCAGGAGAGATTTTCTCTAGCTACCTTGACAGCTGATTCTCAGGGTGAGGCTCAAAATACGACAAACCTGAGGCTTTTGTATGGGTATCTCAACTTGAAAAAAAAATCTCCTTAAAGGTTAAGTTTAAGGCTTATTAATATTGCAACCAGAGAAAGTAAACATGTATCTTGTATAATGCTGTATATCTCTTTACATTGCATTCAGCTGGATCATAATTATTCTCTGTTCACAGTAATAAAACACAGTGGAGGCCTTGATCTTTAACTTCTTTTTATTTGCTTCTTGTAATGCGGGGAATCCAAGAACTAAGCATTGCGTCACTCCAGATACTGTGTGTCGAATGACATGCTGTAAAAGAACAGCATAATCCAGACTGTTTCGAGTTGTGAGATGCAGAGAAGACACATTTTATTTCCCCTCTTCTATTCTGGGCGGATCAAGCTCGCTAAATCCCGGCCATTTGGGAGCACATTATTAAGACTGCCCTGAGGAGCTCAGTGCACGCTCTGCATCATTTATCAGAGCCAAGACAAGTTACCTCCACTGAGGTTTGGATACGTTTCACCCCATTATTGGTTTTCCTGCTTGGACAGATTCTTTTTAAAAAAGAGGAGGCTCGCAGGGGAATCTCACAGCATGAAAAATGTAGTTCAGACACCTGAAATGACAGAAAGGTTGCAGACATTTTCTATTTCTAAATAATCATATAGAATTAAAGTGTAGTGTTTAATAGATTCTTCAGAGAAGCTGTCTAATTTTATCAACACGGAGGTCAGAGGTCAGTAGGGTGTCCACTTAACTATTCTGTTCCTTAGCTTGTAACATCTTTATACTTTTCCCTCTGGTTGATTTAGTAGCACACAACAGACTATTCAGGTTAAGTGAGGCCTTTAGCATGTGAAGGACTTAACAAATATATTTTATTTGAATGTAATTTTCCAAACTCCCACGCTGAAAAAATACAGTGAGCATAGCAGGAAGCTAAAGTTCCACAGTTCTTATTATGGCCTTGAAGCCAGTTATAATTTCCCAGTCTTTGTTGTAGCTGCATTTCTTTTTTCCTTTTTTTTTTTTGTGGCAGTTTCCATCATACTCAACCTAAATCTACATAACTTGTGACTTTGTGGTGACTCACAATTTCCCTGTTGAGTGTAGCGTAGCAAAGATGGTGACAGAAAGGACTGACATCAAACAGCCCTGTAATGATGGCCTTCCTGCTTTCTTCACAGCCACTGAATAAAAAACTAATTTTACAAAAGTCTGTCCTGTATTGTATTGAAATCGTCTCAATATGTGGAATGTGGGACAAGAAATAAAAATGCTGTGCAGTCCTACACAAAGTGGGACTCCAGGGGTCAGATTTATAAACCATGCATACACACAAAGATTGTACTTATGCCACTTTCCATACAGGTTTCCAAATGTATAAAAATCCACAGGCAGTAAGAATGTGTGTACTGGTACACATCTTAATCTTAATAAATGATTAAATACAGCCATTTTTATCCTGTGTTATTGAGGAATAACAATAACCTTCAGGTGTGAGTGACCAATTGTGTGTAATGGGTGTGCCAGTGGCTGCTTTGGCGCTGCTGGAAGATACTGCTATTGCGTAATTTAGGTGAGAACGAGTATTTAGAGACTGTTTTAAATCAGACCATTTTTTATCAATATCTTCCAGGTTCCGAGGCACAAAACTAACGGCGTTCACTGCCTCCGTTACCTTCTGCCATTCACCTTGCTTCATTGTTCATAACAGAGCTTAGGGATCCAAATAACCCGTTTTCAACCGTTACCTCCAGTTCACATTCTGTAAAACTGCTTCTTCTTCATTAACTTCTCTGATGCTTCTGTCATTTCTTCTAAAACTAAATGCTGATCCTTCATATAAAAATCAGGCAACTGGGTGTGTGTTTCAAGTCATTTATAGTGAGGGAAAAACACATGGTAACAGACGCACGTGAGGTTTTGTAAATCCAACCAAAAGACTGCGTATGCATGTTTCCTGTTCTGCACCGAAATATACACAGAGAGGTCAGATACAGCTACGGAGGACGGGGTCGATGAGAGAGAAACAGCAGTATATACGTAATACATGTACAATCAATGAAGATGATTCAAAGAGTACATTTAATATACGTTTGTGAATATACTGGTGGCAGTGTGATAAGACAGACTCACGTCATAGTAGCTCTGGACAGCGTTGATGAAAGCCTCGTCAGCCACGATCTGTGTGTCTCCGCTGAGGAACGCCTGGAAACGTTCTTTGACCGTCTGCAGCTGCTGCTTACTGATCTGAGGGAGACAAAGGATATTATACTGTGAAGATCACAAGTGAAACTTACAATTTACAATTTAATCATTAAAATAACAACAACTATAACTTATCTTTATTTTATTTTTCGTTTTTTATTTTATCAATGCAAGTGACCAAAGACAAAAGTAAAAAAAATGAAATGAATAAAGAAGCTACAAAATTAAAGAGGCTCTCTAATATGGTGAAAAATGAACAAAACATTTCTTGTAGCCAGTAAAACTAATAGTTAATAATAAACCTTTTGAATGACTATGGAACAGCTGTTACATGTAATGAAATGATGCATTATTACATATATTCAAGGAGAAAGAAGTTCAATCAACACATTTTTCTTTTGACTTCATGAGATCCTGCCCTGAACAGAAGAGTAGCTGGTATAATGTGAAGGTCTGATAACTGAGGTTCTATGATTGATCTATGATATGTTTTCAGAACAAGAACTGGATTAGATGGGCTACCTGTGGAGGTCTATAGAACCTTCATTGCTGAGATAAAGGCTTTATTAGCCTGCTTTCCATTTTCCCATTGAATTGTAACAACTCCTAAACTCCTAAAAAGAGGGGCTAATTTCTCTATTGCTAAAAATATCCTATGAAATGTAACAATTGGAGACCCCTGACACTTTTGTGCTGTGACCCCCATGTTCTGGACAAATGTATTGCACTTAGATTAAGCAAGTCATTCAACAACTAATACACTTTGATCAAAGATATTTTTTGGATAGCAATTTAGGTGATAATATGATCATATTAGGCATCTCTTATCACAGAGTGTTACAACAGGGGTACCTAGCCTGGTTTGATATCTATAGCTGACTTTTTATTATTTTAATAACAAAGTGCACAGGCACAAGATTAATTTCCACTCCAATAATTAGCCAATTAAACATTAATTTGCATACACTATACTTGTGCCCATTCCACCACTCATTATTAGACCTGTCAGTGAAGGGATCGGTAAAACAAACCAAAAAGTGATCGTGTCGACGACGGCGAGGTTCTCCAGCAGTATCAGAACAGCTGTCACTACGTGCTACCAATACACATGTACCTATAAACCATCATTATGGTAATATTTCAGTCATTATTAAAGGTCAGGATGATCCATGATCTATACAATCTCATATTGAAGAGACTTTACAAAGTGCTTCACAATTCAGAATCAAATAAAAGAACATTAACAGGGAGACATACACCAATCAGCCATAACATTCTGAGCACTGACAGGCAAAGTGAATAACACTGATTATCTGGTTATCATGGCTCCTGTCAGTGGGTGGGATATATCAGGCAGCAAGTGAACATTTTGTCCTCAAAGTTGATGTTAGAAGCAGGAAAAATGGGCAGTGGAGGATTTGAGCGACGGGCCAAATTGTGATGGCTAGACGACTGGGTCAGAGCATCTCCAAAACTTGTGGGGTGTTCCCGGTCAGCAGTGGTCAGTACCTATCAAAAGTGGTGAACCGGAGACAGGGTCATGGGTGGCCAAGGCTCATTGATGCACATGGGGAGTGAAGGCTGGCCCGTGTGGTCCGATCCAACAGACGAGCTACTGTAGCTCAAACTGCTGAAACAGTTAATGCTGGTTCTGATAGAAAGGTGTCAGAACACAGTGCAGCACAGTTTGTTGGTATGTCCCACATTGAGGCAGGTTGAGTTCAGGCAGGCTGAGTATGTATATATAGTCAAAACACAGCTGAAAAGTCTACAGAGCTTCATTTAAAGATGTTGGTTGCAGAGATGTTCAAAAGACAACCAGAGCCAGCAATGAGCTGGGAAACACACTGTAGAGTCATGCTTCAATAAAGCTGCTGTGGTGAAAGCAATCAGCAGAGGAAGAGGAGAGAGAGGAAGCACTACTGACAGCATCTGCTCAGTGAGAAACCCTACAGGAGTACACCCCATTTTCTATAAATAATAGCACCTAAAATCCACAAACTTCTTCTTAATACATTGTTGATGTCTGAAAATTCAGCACGGTTTAAAATCCAGTTTGGAAACAGTTCCAGTGAGCTTGGAGGACATTTTGGGTTACAAGGTACAGCATGACAAAAGGAAGTATCTTTAAAACTGTTAACGTCTACACATTCAAGTAAACTAAAGTGTAGTCAGAAAGGACTATTCAGTATTCAGTGTATTTAGTGTGCATGTATTCAGTGTACAGGTCTTTGGAGAGTTGTCACTTTGACATCTAGTTTGACGCAGTATTAAACGTTATATGTCAACATTAAGCTTCGTATGGGCAATGGTGGTAAAAGCCACAAAAATGAACAGTGTGTAGCATGGGTTATGCCTGTATGTATGTTAGTTAGCTTTCTTACTAAGGTAGCCAATCAGGGGCAGATCTAGAGGGGTGGCAGCTGCCACTCCTAAAAAAAGCCAGGCCACCCCAGCTGCCACCTCAGTTTGGTGTCAAATGTGGTCAGATTTAACACATTTAGATTATTTTAGAGGCGACTAAGACTAAAGACACTCAGAGATAATGATGATTAAGTTCAATGAAAAAAGACATGTATTTGTAAAAATGTCTAAAGATTTGGAAATATAGCAATGTATTGATTTCTAATGCCACCCATTTTGATTCAGGTACCTTGAGGTCAGAGGTCAAGGGATCCCTTTGAAAATGGCCATTGCCAAAACTTTGGAGCATTATTTGTCCCCCCATCAAGCTAGCATGACATGCATGTTACTAATGTTTTATTTTTGCCTAGAGGTCCCTAAACAGTGTTGGAATTCCATATATTTGGAATGACTGGAGACACTTCACGCCACCCCTGCATAAATCACTGACCTTAGAGCTGTTTGGCTTAATAACTCAGCAGGCACCTAAATACAGGTGGCACACTAAAGGATGAAAAGCAAAGCTTTAAATAAACTGGCTAAACAAGATAATTAAACAGTATTAAGCTGATAGTAAAGTTTTAGAGGCAAACATTCTGCTGGAGACACTCCTTTTAGACCGACTCTTTTAGTAACATTTTAGATAAAAACTGTTTTTTAATTTTGGATCTCCATTGACCTAGGAGGTTGGTCATCTATGTGTCCATTGTCTTCATTGATAAGACTGATAAGAGCCTCCCTCCCTGCCAGAAGATTCCACACCCATTGGCCAGTTCCTGTTCGCAGCCTTGGTAACAGTTGCCATGGCTACTGCAGCAGAGGAAACGGTATGAGATTACAGCTTCCTTAATGGGGGTCAAAGTTGAGATGAACTACAGCAGAGGCAGCTGTGGGCTACTGTTTATCCATAATACACCAGTGCATGACTAAATATCGTTGAAGTGGAGGTCAGAAGAAAATATGTGCAGCCTGTATTATTGCTCAGTGCATGTTCTCACTTAGTTACTTCTTTAGATTTAATAATAACATATATCCTAAAAACCTTGTAGTGTTGTAGTCTGTGACATGACTTACTTACTGTAGTACCAGGGCACCAAGCTCCAGAAAGACTTTTCATTTTTAAAGTTCAGATGAAATGAAAAATGCCTTTTAACCCCTTAAAATTAGCACTACATGCCCAGTCATATTGCACCCCTATTTGACAATGTATGGCAAAGAAATTACAACAAATTATACAAAATTTCTTTATATTTTTACATTTATCCTATCTTCCCTGTAAAGCAAAATGAGACACATGCTTATGTAAGTGTGAACCAACCAGCTTCAACCAATAATGTCACAACATCCACCCATCAATCAATCTTCACTGATAACTGTACGGAGATACAACTTTATTAAAAAACACAACATTTTATCAGTGATTTGGGTGAAACTAGATTATAAATATAAATATACAAATCTGGACCATATTTTATGTCCTAACTGCTGCTGGAGCTGCCGTTGGCGTGCAACAGAACCGAGCTCAGCAGCCTCCCAGTGAACATGGCCAGACTGGAACCGAATACAATCTCAGAGACAGACTGAGGCCAGTTTGACGACAGTGGTACCGAAGTAATCGATGAAGTTTCCTAAAGGCAGAAAACTACCACTAATGCTAGTTAGCTCATGCAGCTAACGTTAGCTAACTCTAGGGTGCAAGGAGCCAAACCTGGCAAAAATAACTCCTCTGTACTGTACTCCTTGTCATAGAATCGGCCTCCGTCCGCATTGGATGCTGTGCCGTTCCCAGTCTGGCAGAGTCAGCTAATAGGACCGCTATAACTGCATGGTGGGGGGTGTAATATGATGTTATCACTTGTGGCTACAAAAGGGAAAGGCACACGACCACCATCAATTGAGATACAAGTCCAGTTTTCATATGGTAACTTAGGCTAAAGTCCCCCTCCACTCAAAAATATGTTTTCTCCTTGTTTCTACAGTTGGACGTTTGAGCTTCACTGTTGGCCTCAGCTCAGACCATGCCAGTATGTGCTGTTTCTGTTCTGGGCTCCAGTGACAAGTTACCTACAGTGAGTTATTATCAGTATCAGTGTGTGTGTGTGTGTGTGTGTGTGTGTGTGTGTGTGTGTGTGTGTGTGTGTGTGTGTGTGTGTGTGTGTGTGTGTGTGTGTGTGTGAGTGAGAAAGAGTGCCAGAGAGAGGGGCTGTGCTGCACTGCTCTGTACTGGTCCATACATTATCTCCAAAGACATGCACAGCTACTTATTAATCCCACTGGTTCTCAGAATGAGGTCCAGGCTCTCAACCAGGCGGTCTTGAAAGTCCTCCAAAGGTCCAAATCATAATGTAGAAAAACAAGCATCCCCTCATTTTAACTCTTAATTTATGGGGAAAAAATCTCTGTTAAATCATATCTATTCAGCTGTGTGATCCTGGGTTTTACTGTGATGGATCCTCCCATCATGATACATTTAAATATCATTTTTAGAATCGTTTTGAAAATAAAGGACTAAAATATGTGGTTCTCAACGTGATGGTGCTCTAACTGCTGGGACCATATCTAAACCGGGGTTCTGGAGATAGAGGTCTGTTGCTGTACAAATACTCAAATCCTTTGAGACAAACTTGTGATTTTGGGAT